CGTAAATATTTCCGTAAACTGTTGAATGTAATGATTTGCCAGAACTCTTGTACCTAATGTAAATCTATAAAAAATTCCAAATATTTATTTGTCCAATCAATTTTTATAACTTCAATAAAATATAAAATTCTATTTGATAAAAAGAGAATGATGAGCAAATACTCGCCGGCATGCAGATCCGTTTTTCTCTCCTTCACGATGATTCTTATCCATATAAAGCTCTCCCAGGTACTCAGAATTAGAAGGTCTTTGTAGAATTGAGAGCTTTATGTGATCTATTTCACCTTGACTTCCTCCCGTTTCTAATATATATTCTTCTATAACATGTGGCAAACAGTCTTTTGTTTCTCGCGGGCGTTCGTATGCTTTTGCAAATCTATCATACATGAAGCATAAATTTGTATTAATACATATAGTGACGTTTGATAAATAATAGTAACTTTTTACTGAAATGTACCTTAAAACATCAATAGGTGTATTTGGTGGAAGTAGAGGAGGATTTGTAAGAGAAGGCGGTGGACAGGCAGTGGTTGTAGCTACTCCTCTCTTTGCTCTTAATTTTTGCATTAAATCTTGTATTGTTAATCCCTCTGGTTGTGCTAATTGTTCCAATTTTCTCTTACGATTAACTGTAACCTATAAAAAAACAAGGTAAAATATTTCAAATATTAGAATTAAGCATGATATAATATATTTAAAAGCACAAGCAAACTAAATAGAAATCACAGTTGCATTCTAGTCCATTACAATTAATTACCTGTGAAAACTTTTTGGCTTGTCGCATAAGTTGGTGATCAGTAAGCAAAGATTTAGATTGCCTTAATCGTGTTGTAGCTATGCTAGGAATAGGATTTGGATCAAGACAAAGAGGTCCTTGGGTAGCTGCAACTAAATGTGATTCTAACATTAATCGTTCTTCATGACTCCAATCACCATCACTAGTTAAGGTTGATACATCTGAGAGTACACTCTAAAAGATATTAAGACATTATGCTGATTAATTTAAATTCATTAGATAAAACTTAATTATTATTTTATTTATTATCTTATTTTGTCACTTATATTAGTATTTCTCAAATTTCATTTCTAGTGAAAAACTAGTATTTTTTTTTATTTCTCACTTGTGTTGTAGGCTTAAGAAGCACATGGTGAACTTCAGCTTTAGTATGAGGAAATGCTTTTCGATAATCTCGAACTTCAGCTATTATACAACCATCATAAAATAAATGAGAATGATTAGTTTCTAGTTGCTCAGCCAACATTGCAGGCAATTGACCATTATCTATACATGAAAGCAATTCACCCTGTTCGTAACCCATCAGTTGTGTTTCAGCTAATATTGAATTTTTATCATACTGATTTCCCTTATCACTATTAAATTAAAATTACTTATTAATCTACTATTATTAATTTAGTTTCCAAATATATTGTAAATAAATATTAACATATACTTAATAGAAAAGTATAATATATTTACCTATTTCTTACAGCTAGTGAGTATCCTTTATTACCAGCATAGAGATTTACGATTAATGTATATAGACCTTCTCTTTGCACCAATCTTCCCAAAAGGTCACATTCATTTTCTAGATTATTCTACATAAATAAAAATATTATTATTAAACTAGTTTATTAATCTATATTAAATTTTTTGGAACATATTTAATATTAAGAATATTAAAAATATTATTTCTATAGAAGTATACATACCAACACAGAGTCAGGAGTTGCATGAGGAACTTTAGTAAGTTCTTCAAAATATAATCTAGTCAACTTAGATTGAATGCTGTGTTTAGAATGATTCTGTTCTTTTTTTTGAATAGATGATTTATCACAAGCTGAACTTATAGAATTTTGTCCTTGAACATTTTTCCAACATTTGGATACCTGATTTATCATATCCTGCATATAAAATGTAAATATTTAAAATTAAAAAATCTACTTGAATTAATTAGAAACTTATAATAAATTAGAAAATAATAATAAAATATTACCTGAGCCTGCCGACACGCATCTTCTAAGCTACAGGCTGTATCAATCATTTTAATTTTTGATTGCTAAAACCATTTAATGTCATATCTGATATAATAATGAATTTTCACAATCTAAAATAATTTCATAAAATATTAATATCATAGTTTTTATGACACAAAATTTGTATTATATTAATTTAATAAACATTTATGCCATTATGTTTAAGTAAATAAAATACTTTACTATAAGATATTTTTTATAATTTTTAAAATTTTACAACATTTTTAAGATTATTACATTCTAGAAAATGTGTTTAATATAAGACATAAATTGCTAATATTATGATATGATATTAGTTATATATATAATCATATATAATATAGTGCGATTAGTATAATCTATGATAGAAAGAAAAAGAAAGAGAAAGGAATAGAGAAAGTATTTTTTATTCATCTAAATAGGTTATCCTTAATATAGTTTAATTATCAATAACTAAATTCATATATATATATAAAAATATAAAAATTTGTGTAATAAACTTTCGTTGCTAACATTTGTATCACATTTATAAATAAAATTAATTTAAAGTTATATATCAAAACATTACATAAAGCTATATTCAATATAATACAATAATATGATATTAAGTAGATAAAATATACAAAAAGATATATATATATAGTACAAAATAAAAAATTATAACGTTGGAAAAGGTTTTAGTTAAGTATAATAATTTGATAAAGAGTAAGAACATAATTTGTTATGAATTGTAAAAAATACTAATGTGGAATATTTTACAAATGCATTTTTTATTACATTTGTTTATCGATGAGGCTATTATGTTTCTTATCTCACCTTTTGAACATTATAACAAGTATTTCAAACATAATAGTAAATTAATGCAATCAGAGAGTATCAAAAGGTAAAAAATAAGATCAATAAATAAGATTTATCGAAACAAAGGGTTATGTACAAGTTACAAATAAATATGAGAGAATATGTTTTAATCATAGCGTGAATTCACCGAATGTCAAAACAAGCACGCTACATGAGAGGTTATGTAAATGTTTATGAATTAATACAAATTACATTTAAATCTTTCGAATAAAACATAAACAATAGGTTATTTACCTCTAATGGATCCACAAAGTAATCTAATAGTAAACATTGGACACAGGATGTGACTCAAGTTAATTTTCTTATCATAACCTCACACGAATTGGTAAATAATACACAAGTTTACAGATAACGAAAATTTTTGTCAACGAGTTCTTATAATCAATAAAAATTATTTAGTGTCAAATAAATAGTATTTACAAGTAAGAAACGTCATTTTAGAGGACACAATGTAACCTATTATACAAACACCACACAATCATAGACTGGAAAATTGACCACATTTCTCTCTAGTGAGTTACTCAATTTATAGTTCGCAAGCTCGACTAGCATTCGAACAACTAAGGACGAATTTAGTGTTTCATGTCGAACACTGATCTCGAATTTTATTCGAGAAGAAGACAGATCTATCGGGAAAGTTATTAATGTAAGAGAGAAACAGTATTAAGAAGTCTAACCAGCTTTTAGTAAATTTATTTATGAAAAGGATACATAAATAGTAACCTACATTAATTGATTAAAATTTTATAAGAATAAAAATTTTTTATTCAAGAATCATATATTAGCTTTAGATTTTAAACTTTTTATGAAAAATTTATATTTATTTAATTTGTATAAATTCGTTTTCATTTATGGTACAACTGTACTACTAGGTACTACATTAAAATACCATTACCAATATACAAGTGGGATTCCATTCTTTAGATAAATTGTTCATGTTCAAGATTACGATAATCCAAGCCTAAGTTCAAGACGTAGACATTTTGTATCGAAGATCGATATTTGTAAGTATACAAGCAATGTCATTTTGCTAATTACAATGTTATGTTAATGTAAAAACCATCATAGTGTTGAATGAGAAATGTATGGAATTCAAGTCAATTTAAGAAAGCAAATTTTGCTTCCAAATTTTCGCAACAATTCCTACTCTTAGGTAAGTGATATTTTAATACTGTCATTTAGAAGGAATAATTGGAAAATTACTTAATATTTGATTGTTTCTTATTTATTATAATCTTTATTATAATTATGAATTACATTTAAAAAAATGTAGAAATTTTTATCTTTTGGTAGCATTATATACTTAATTATTAAATTTGATTTTTGTAAAATATTTTATGGACATATAATACGTATATTCAATCTTTTGAATACTATATTATTCTTAATTTTATTTTAGCATAATAGGTTTATATATTCATATATCCACTTACATAAATACGTATATATATACATATACATATATTTTATATTAATATTAATTAACTATTTTTATAAATATATTTTTTATTTTTAATCAATGAGAAATTATTTATTAAAAAAGAATGGTTTGTAGCTTTTTAATTATAAGTTTTATATATTAATGTAGTTTTTGTGAATTTATTTAAAATATTACGATAACAATGTATAGTTTCATTGTAGTAAAGGTTACTAGTTTATAAAAATAATAATTGTACACATAAGGCATAAGTTATTTTATAAAAGTACTATGTAATTGTTTTGTTTTCACAATATATAATTTTATATTATACATTGTGTTATATCGCGGTGTTTTGAATAACCCGCCATTTAAACTGTAGTTAGTTCATTTGGCTCAAGAGGGTATATGATCTTTAATCGTCGTTGTAAAGCTCCTGTCTACGTAATCGTGCTAGTGATTTAGTATTAATCTTAACGAAGATTCAGAAATATATCGTTCATGACTATCAATAAATGAAAGAAATATTGTGAACTGATTTTTCTTCACGTCAAAGAGGATTTGCGCTGCGAAGTGTTTTGATGCACATTCTGTGATATATTGTCTCCGTTAAATGATCATATATCGTAATAGTTATTCTAAGTGTTAATTTATCGGGTCTGTTGTTTTGATTTATTAATGACATTTGAATTTTAATATACAATCAAGAATAATGGGTGTTGGCCTCAAACCATTAGAGTTTACGGATTGCTTAACTGATAGTCCTTACTTTCGAGAGAATCTTCATTATCATGAGCGTGAATTGGAGAAGACCAGCCAACAAATTAAACGGCTCATCAAAGAGGTCAAAGATCTTTTATTAGCTGCCAAAAGTAAGTCTATTTGTCACAAGGTTGATAAGTTTCTGTGTACACATGTAACAGCTGCTCTTATCTTATTCTATTTTACTTTCATGTTTTCCAGTAACATATTTTAGTTACAAAGTTATAATATTGAACAATTTTTTAATCAACTATATTGACACTAAATTTTTTTCAAGGTTTAGGTTATTTTTTAATTTATGATGTATGTCATATTCATATTTTGTAATATAAATATATTTGATTTGTGCTACTATACATATAGACTATACTAAATTTTAATTTTGTTTATTATTTTCGTCATATCATAAACTATGTTATAATATCATATGGAATAATGTTATATTTTATTATAATTGTATTTTTACCATTTATATAATTGAAGATACAAGTAATAAGGTTCTGAATAAATATATTTATTGTAAAATCTATGATCATGAAAATAACAGCTATTAACTTATTTAGATTTGTCCAGAGCGCAGAGAGCATTTTCCAAAACATTGCAGAATTTTAGTTTTGAATGTATTGGAGAAACTCAAACTGAGGACGAAACTCACATATCACAAAGCCTTAAGGAATTTGGTAAACTTATTGCATCAATAGAAGATGAAAGGGATCGCATGGTATGCAATGTTTTTAGTATATAAATATATTTTATATTCATTGGAAAGACTATTCTTGAATGAAAGCAATTCATATTATAATATTTTTTATAGTTTTATTAATTTGTTATAGTTCAATTCCATAATATTTAACAATAAAAATTAAATTTTATGTTTGGCATAAGAAATCAAAAATTATAATTTTGATAAAAGTTTACCATAAAAGTAGTACAATTTTATGTATCATATTTTTTATTAAACTAGTAACTAAAATATTTAAAATGATATACTTTTTTTATATTTTCTGCAAAAAGACATTGTTGTGTATGATTTATTTGTTTATAAAAATATAATAAGTGTTACTATATATAAAAACTCTGTTTTTATAGAAGGAGCACATCCTGGTTATTTAATGGTATATCTTTTGAAACATATTTTCAATCAAAGTTCTTTTTATAATTAAATTATATTTATTTTTTCAATATTTTTTAAAAGTAAACAATTTAGTATATTACAATGTACATATTTCTTGTCATGTTTCTGAATGCACACACAAATAGCTTTTATTTTTGAATTACAAAAGAGCTTTTAACATTTACATTAATATCCTCTTCAAGGAACAAGTAAAAATTTTATATATTATTGCATGTAACTGTTATATACATATAACATATCTTTATAAAATGTTTCAAGCATTTAATGCATATAAAAACAAAGACTAAGTATTCTTAGCACTAACATGTTAGTAACATTCTTTAACAAGTTATATATTTAATCATTTTTAATGCATTAGGTAAGTTGCATATTTAATTACTGTTACAAAAAATAAGTTTTTCCCCAAATAGTGAAATAACAGAATGTTGTTATGCTTGTTTTTCTATAGCAATGTCAGTGCTTGTGTGTATGTGTGAACATAGGACACATACATGCATTTGCATTCATTTTTAAACAAGGAATGTGTCTTAGTAACTCTTTTATAGTTCAATAATTTTGTACTTGATCTTCTATTTTAGTATTGATATGGTACAAGATTTTATGATGTTTAGAATAAATAATCAGGATTGGATGATTGAATCTAGTCCCCATTCTGAATATAAGAACACAATATTGTTCAGTTTAGTATTTAGTGCTAAAGTAGTTATAATAAGCTTATTCAGGTAATGTGCGTTAATAAGTCATATATTTTCTCTTACTACTAACATATGTGTGTGTTCATGCACATAAATACATAAATGTTACGATACATAAATGTGTAATAAATGAAATAACTAAGTTGTAGCTTAATCATTTTATTTACATAAATTGTCTAATTTGTATTATACAGGGTGGTTGGTAACTGGTGGTACAAGCGGAAAGGAGATGGTTCTACGCGAAAAAAGAAATCGAAAATATAGAATAGAAATTTTTTTTTAATTTTTCCATCGAGACAACGATCTACAGTGAGATCCGTTATAACGAGACGTGATAAAGTGCACGCGTACCGAGCGAAAATTCAAAGTCAATTTTCTCGAAAACAAAGCCTCGAACGAAAAATTTTTATTCTATATTTTCGACTTCTTTTTTCGCGTAGAATCACCCCCTTTCCGCTTGTACCACCAGTTATCAACCACCCTGTATAAATCTTTTTATGTTACTATTATTTAGTGAGACATATTCTACATATGGCTTTTATATAAATACATATGTTAATAAAATAATTTCTAATACATTTCATTTATGTATCAAAAAAGCAATTATAAAAATTTGCAAGAAATTGAAAATCTGTAGTTAAAAATGTATTCTAAATAAAATGTCAACAAAGATTAGAGTTATTATAATCAATACATTGTTTAATATCCTTAAAAAATTATTTGATAATTACAAATTTTAAATAAACTATGTCTTTATTATACGAGGATATTATTGTTATCACCTTAAATACAGAAGACATGTTTATTGTTTCAGTCTAAGATAAACGTGTATATTATTTATTATTATACAGAGCACTCTAAATCTCTTGTGGACAATTAAGTGGGAGGTGATTCTTCATGTGAAAATGAATCGAAAAGAAAGAATATTTTCGACCGAGGCCCCGTTTCCGAAAAAATCGAGTTTGAAAATTCGGTTAAGTATCGATTAGATATGGATAAACAATTAGCAGGAGATTATTTGTTATTACGTGCGAAAATAAGTCAAAAACGTAAAACGAAATTTTTCCGCTTAAGGCATTATTTTCAAGAAAACTAAGTTTGAACATGCTTAGTTAAGAACTGGTCTAGTGCACGCGCATGATACATTTTAAAATTTATTTTTCTTGAAAACAAAGAATTTTATACAAAATTTGAATTCTACATCTATTACTTATTTTCATATATATTTCAATTTTGTGTCGATTATTATTATATTTCTATTCAGTTTGCAATTAGTTAAATTCCGAAAACGGGGAACTATATGAAAAAAATGTATTCTTTCTTTTTGATTCATTTTTACATGCAGAATCATCCCCTAGTCGATCGTTCACGAGTTGCAGAACGCCCTGTATATATTATATAATATTATTTTATGTTTTCTATAATGTTGCTTTTGTAATAAACATTGGCTGTATATCTCACAATATAATTATTTAGTTTCTCTGTATATATATTTGTATTATGATTTAATTTCACTTTTTATTGTTTCTTATTATGATTAACTTTATTTATATGTTATATGTAGTTGTGCATATATGCACATATAATTCCTAAAAGTTATATAATTTTATTTCTGTATGTATTTATTTCAGTACAAGACAAGATCACTGCTTACTGTGATTCAATGAATTTTAAAGTTATTCTTTTATAAAAATTTTACTTTATTCAATAACTTTTATTTTTAGCTTGAACGTGCTTATGATCAAATTATACTCCCTTTGGAGAACTTTAGAAAAGAACACATTGGAGGCGTCAAGGTAATGTAAAAACTTTAGTAAATTAAATTTCAAAGTTAATGTATATAGTACAATCTTTTATTTATGAAATAATATGAAACTAATATATTAATAGGACGGAAAGAAGAAATTTGAGAAACAAACTATTAAATTTTGTCAAAGCCAAGAACGCTACTTGAATTTGTCTACCAAAAAACAAGACAATGTTCTTCAAGAGGTATAAATATTTACATATTATAAAAGCAAAATATTTATAGTACTTGATCTAATAATATAATTACTTTTAGGCTGATGCAACACTGGAAATGGCTGAAAGACATTTTTGTCAAGCTAGTTTAGAGTATGTGTTCTTGCTTCAAGAAGTACAAGAACGTAAAAAATTTGAATTTGTGGAAACTGTAAGTTTTCTCTTTTTATATGTTTTTCATTAAATTATTATAGATTTTAAATCAAGAATAATTAAATATTACAAGTTACAAATAATACTATTTTTTCCAGTTACTAGGTTTTATGTTTGGTTGGTTAACATTTTATCATCAAGGACATGAAGTTGCAGAGGATTTTAAACCTTATATGACTGAACTGCAGCTAAAAATACAAAAGGTTAGTTCTCTCCTTACTTTGTATTTCATTGCTTTAAAATATATGAAAAGCATTAGAAGCACGATTCTAAAACTGATTACTTACATTAGCACTATTCAGATGACAACAAAGTTGCTTTGTGCATTATAACATTGATTTATATAAATCTATGAAATACATTGTGCATTGTTGTTTCACATTCTATCTCTCATATATCTTACAATTTATTTATTGAGTTGCTATACAAAATTTGGAAATGAAAATTTTATCATTTTATTATAATATAAATTACTTTGTTAACTTATGTTATTACAAGAATGTGGTACAACATATTCCAAATATTTTGAAAGATTATTTGGGATATATAATTTGGGTACTTTTAAATGTCTTGTTATGCACTTTGAAGTATTTTAATATTAGTAATTCTCTCATAATTGATTTGGTTGTTAATGTTCAACTACTTGTAGATATACTTAAATGTAACTTCTTACTAAATTATTGTGTGGTGCAAATATTATTAGGATAACAGCATGATAAATAGCTTACTAATTTTCAATTTTATGTGTGTGTGTGTGTTTTACAAGACTAGAGAAAATTTCCTTGCTACCCGGGATAAAACAGAATCACTTATGAATAAAATGAAGGATATGAAAAAGGTATGTGATATATTTTTTATTATTTTTATCATTTAATTTTAGTATACATCATTGTTATTTACAATGCATAAGAAGATGTGTTATTAAAGCATAATATGTAAAATTGATTAATTAATTCTAGAAATGATTGAACATGAGTTCTATGTTCAAACATTGTATTTAAAAAAAAAATCTGTTATTGTATAATGATAAAGTTAATAGTAATCTATAATGGAAATACTAGTAATATTTTCATTTTGTAGTCTGCTGTAGAAAGTGGGGTCAATAAACTATACACACGTGAAGGTTATTTGTTTCTAATGGAAAAGAGTAAATATATAAAGTTTTATGTAGTTAATAAATGGAACGAATATTTATTACATATTAATATAATCATAAATCTTTATAGAGGCATTTGGCACAACATGGACAAAACAGTATTGCACATATCAAAAGGACAAAAAGGAATTTACGATGATACCTTATAATCAACTTACAGGAAAGTTTGTAAGTAAGCTTTAGGTATTCTAAAATGAATGTTATTATGAATGTACTATCAAGAAAAAGCATTCATCAATATTGTCTTAACTTAATAGAGTAGCAAAGAAGTTTTTACATTGGCATCTTGTGTACGTCGTATGTCAGATACAATTGAAAAACGATTTTGCTTTGATATCACCACTATTGATAAGTAAGTTCAATTCATAATAATTCATAATACAAATATTTTTACATTACATTTACAATTCTTTTATTTTCTTAGACCTAATGTAGTATATACATTCCAAGCACTTTCTGAAGAAGATAGAAAGTTATGGCTTGATGCCATGGATGGTAAAGAACCAGTAAGTAACAATTATTATTGGATTCCTACTGCATTATTTTTTAAATCGAGAATGATTGAAAAAAATTGATACAGTATCTATATTTATCATTCCAGAATTATCCTATAGTAGGTGCATCAACCAAATCTGAAGAAACCACCTTAGATGAAACTGGTTTCATGTTCGTATCAAAATGCATTACAACGCTCGAAGAAAGAGGTAAGTTTGAGGTAGCAATTTACATATTTCATATGTAAATTTCATCAGAAAATTACTTTAATATGATGTATTACTGTTCTAGGTCTTGAAGAGCAAGGTCTCTACAGAGTTGTTGGTGTTGCTTCCAAAGTAAATAAACTTTTAGCTATGGGACTAGATAGAAGGAAACTAGAGAAACTTAATCTGGATGATCGTTTTGAATGGGAAAGTAAAACTATTACTAGTGCACTCAAAACATATTTGAGGACGCTATCTGAACCGTTAATGACTTTCCGATATTATAATAGTTTCATTTCAGCTGCGAGTGCGTATAGGTATTCTCTATAATATTATTTTATTTGAAATCTTTAAATTAAAAATACTATCTTTTTTATATTAAATTTCTATAAATTAAAAAATATATTTTTTAATTATATTTTTCATTTTTATTATTCTTTTCAACAGAACAAGAAATCAAAGAAGCACGTATCAATGATATTCATAATCTTGTTTATCGACTCCCAAAAGCGAATTTCAATATGTTAGTGCTTCTTATTAAACATTTGTACAGGTATATTAATAACAAAGTCAATTTTATTGAATATTCAAAACTATGCAAATTGTGTAATTTTTTAACCTAACTATATGTTGTTTTGTAGTGTGGCGAAAAAAAGTGATAAAAATTTAATGACTGTCGGTAATTTAGCGGTATGTTTCGGGCCATCCTTACTGCGACCAGAAGAAGAAACAGTAGCTTCTATAATGGATATTAAATTTTACAACATAGTAGTCGAAATTTTAATTGAAAATTGTGAGAGAATAATTGCTGGTCCACCACAAGATACTGTACGCTCAGCACAAAATACCATTCCCTCTCGATCACAACGTGTTAATGTAGAAGATGGGTCAACATCTTCTGGTAATGGAACTCCTTTCCTAAGGTATCCAGTACATGCTAATATATCTTCACCACATGGACATGTAAGTTATATATTAGCTGATTTTACGTTTCAAAGCATAAAATAAACTTTTTGTCGATTATACGATACATACATTATTCGAAATTAAATTATTTATACAGCTTGGTACTAGATCATACTATGATAGCCCACTAGCAGTTGTTACTAAATCATCTTCTATAGATGAACGAAAAAATGGCGACTACGAAGAAACAGAACATACAAGTCACAGAATACCGACATATTTAGATAGTCGAAGTGGACGTGTTAAATTAACGAATGCAAATCTTATATATCATTCTGCAGATAAAGGTTATTTTAATTCTTTTTCAAAATGTATTTGTTTATCTGCATGATTTATAATTTAATAATTATAAATAATTATATAAATTCAGTATTAACCAGTGGCAATACGAGTAGCTCGAGTGAATCAATCGCTTCTGATCCACACTCATTTTCATCTGACTTGCCAGTAAAACAAAAACGTGGTTCTATGATGTCTGTACATTACCCGTCGGGTTACACTCAACGAAACAATCCATCGGTATCTGTGTAAGTGCCTTTTTATTAACTAAACATTTTATTTTCTTACTTGAATGTACTTTTAATATGCATACAATTTTATTTGTAGAGTTAATACATCACCTAGCAGTGGACGTTCAAGCCCTGGACAAGTACCTGGTATATGGTAAACATAAGATTCTTATTAAACATGTTCATCATAATTTGTTATGTATATATTTTCATTATGATATCAATATTGCGTTATTTAAGAATATATTTTTTCTTACAGGAGAGTCCGCACTTTGTATGCTTGTGTGGCCGAAAGCGATGGAGAATTGTCATTTGAACCAAATCAAATTATTACAAATGGTATACAAAATTTAGTACATTTAATGATTGCACATTAGAAAATTGCTTTACGAGTAAAGTACTAACATAATATTTAATTATAGTAAAGGCCTCTTTGGAACCAGGATGGTTGGAAGGTACATTAAATGGTAAGACGGGATTGGTCCCAAAGAATTATGTTGAACAATTGCCTTGAATTTGGAAAAGCCAAAGAGTGCCTACATTGTTTTTACATTGCATAATTCGTAGGGTATGTTTAGTACTATTGCCTACTGAAACATATGTTCACGAAAACGGGAATGATATGCAATGACATTTGTGAAATATAATGTTTTCTATTTAAATTCCTTTGGGTACAATTTACATAGTCAATTACACACACGTGCGCACGTGTGCTCACATATACACATACATACAAACATCTTTATTTATTAGGAGCCTTTTTGCTCAAAAACGACTATAGTGTATATAATCACTTGTAGAAAAATTTATATATATCTACATATATAGTGCTAATATATTATATGATATTTAAATATATTTGTACTAAAAGATATTGATCCAGTATATAGCTTTTAGGAGATCTCATAGGCAATAATATTTGTTTATAGTGCGATAATCTCCACGCGTAATGTGCACGCATGTGTACACACATATAATATCAAAATGTGATAAAATAAATAAATACCAAATACAATCAGAATTTTTAATAAAGATTTTAATAGTATAAAGACTACATTAATTTATAATTAAATATATTACAAAAAAAATGTATACGTATTTGTAGTTTCCTAAATAATAATCTTACGTTTCAATTTTAAAAATTAGATAACTTATGTGTAAAACTATTAAATAAAATGATGTAAGGAATGTATTTAAAACATCACCTTATAAAATATGTTAATTTATTCATTACTGACTTTTATCTTTAATAGTAATTAAAATAATATATTACTGTAAAATAAAATTTTACATAACGAAATAAGTTTTTATCTTAAAACACTCTTTTAAATATTTTATAACAATTAAGTTGTAATAAACATAATTAACAGAATAATAGTTAAAATGATGTTCGTTATTTAATTTATCAATTAATGTAACAAGATTTTGTAACTTATTTATTTTTTCATTTTTAATATTTAATATCTATTAAGTACTTTTTATTTTTATTCCATATGAAATTTAGTTTAAAAAAGTATTATAATTTATTATCTATATAGAATTGAAATTATGTGATTTTACGAAGTTATATAAAAGATCGTTAATGCATTTTATCCAATTTATAAAAATGAGATGTTTTATATGTTTTTATGCTTTAATTTGATTATTGTCGCATAATAATATAATACTGAGTATATTAATGTATGTAAATGCTATAATTCATTAAGAATTACACTTTTTTAGTAAGAAAATATACTCTTATTAAAAATGATACTATTTGATTCTTTTGATTTGAAAAATTATGGAATAATTTAAAAAGGAAGTTCAAATTTTGAACTATGTTCTTGTAAAATGTACACAAACTTATTTTTTACATAAATTATTATTTAAATTTGCCAAATAAATTTCCATTCCTAAACATCCTGCTTTTAAAGCATTTGTTTCTACGCTATTCCATAAAGAACTCATGAACAAAATATAACATAATATTGCTGTTAAAAAAATACGTATTACATTAAGTCCAATAGTTACATCGAGAGATGTAAAGGAACAGTCTAACCCCATAGACCAAACAAGTGGTATAATTAATATACAGCCTACCAATAGATACCAAAATCGCCGCCGACGAACTGTTTTCAATGACGTTTCACATATACTTATGGCTTCCTTTATTGAATCTTTGACATCTACATTTATAGTTTGAAATTCACCTATAATAATAAAAATGTAAATTAAACGTAAATGTAAATTAAAGATTAAATAACTTACCATATATATTATTATTATACATATCATACATATCACTATATTTATTAGCTTACCAGGAATAAATTTAAAAGTTGCCATAATAGCCTCATGATCAGAATAACTAAAGTCTTTGTAAGGTATCCGTTTTGGAAATGGATGTTGAAAATTTGTCACCTCTATCTACGAATAATATATTATTAATATGGTTATTTCTAGGCAATTTCCTACGAAAATAACTAACAAATAAAAATAATTTAATGCACCTTAACATTCTTTGAACCTTGATATAAAATATGATCTATACGTTTCCCCTCAGGACAAGTTCTTGCAAGTTTTGAACTAGTATAACTATTATTGGCACACTCATTGGTCCCTAAATTACTTGAAATATTTGAGCAAGCATCTGCCAAACCAGCAACGCCACAAATGATTTTATAAGCTAAATCTTGAGGTTCTGCATTAAGGTCACCTCCTAATATTACAGAATCAGCTCCACCAGAAGTCATTCTAATAAATTGGGCAGTATCAAAAGCTTGTAGAACTCTATGCGCTGTGTATTCATTACTGTGATTATTGTATTCTGCATGTAACTAAAATATTAAACATATTTAATACTTATCGATATGTCGAAAATTATATGAATAAAAACTACAAATCTCAATAATTAAATTTACATGTGCAATATAAACATTAATGTTCATATTATGAATTTGAAGTCTACAGAGTCCAACACCTTTTCCACCAAACCAATCTCCATGGTGTATTTTATGTACATATCCATTTAAAGGCCATTTATGAAATATTACATCTTTAATAGGAAATCTAGATAAGATACAAATTCCAGATCCAAGAACTCCACTACAATGCATTAAATTAAAATTATTAGTAATAAAAAGGCAAGTTTAATAGTACTATATTAATATAAATGAGATATTTGCCTGTAAAAATAATGTGAGTAAGGTAACTGTTCTTCTGTCTTAGCTCTTATCATTTTGAAATCTTTAACAGACCATACCTCTTGTAGACAAATGATATCATAATTTTCTGTAGCAAATTTTTCTGCAATTGCTGTCATACGAACATTCCTATTTTGTGAAACATATGGTATCCCCCTAAAATATAAAACGTTATGAATATATGACAGTATGCATACTTATGTTAATTATAATTTTGTATTCTAGGTATAGAAAAATATTTATAAAAAATATAATTGGTATAAAAATAATTAATTCTAAACTAGATTCAAACTGATAAAAGTAATCCTATATTACATCATAATGCAACTTACCAACAATTTAAAGTTAGAATATTTATTAACGTTTTTACATTTGTCATTTTTATATCATCTTTTACGTCTGACATCTTTTATGGTTTTATTGTTTCAAACAGATTATTGCAAATATATTTTCCCACAATCAGATCTGCAATTGTGATATAATATGTACTTCTTCTTATTAATTCTTTCCAACGTTTATCAATATCATACTTCATACATATATATGTACTTTATATAGGAAATTGTGATAATAATTTTCTTTAACCAAAATTACAAAAATATGAAGAGAATGATTTTAAAAAATTCTGACTTATTATTGTTCTTTTTATCACAGATTCGAAATTTAAAAGATTGAAATCGTGGCAATAATGCCTTCATGGTCACGCTAGAACTTATCACACAATTTCTTCTTCGATTGTTAGTAATAAATTGTTATCTATATATGTTATATATATATATATATATATATATATATAGCGCTAGAGAAGAAATTTTCTCCTTTCTAGCGTATAACGAATTTAGTCTCTACACTTAACATGTATAATATCTAAGCAATGGTTCTCAACTTTCTTGTATGAACAGCAAATTTTTAATTTATCTAAAAATGTTTCTCTTTATAAATTACGTAATTAAATGTATCTAGTTATACATAGTGCAGTTGTTATAAAATGTTTAATAAAATTTAGTAGAATATGAAAATATTCTATAAAACTTTTTACAATATATCATATACAAAAAAATTGATGCAGTAACAATCACTGTAGTTAACGTAGTCATCTTTGTAATAGTACTTATTTTAATCTAATATAGTCTAATATAATCTTACTTCTAATCTTTTACTTTGGTATTTATAAATATTTTAACTAATTAATTAACAAAAATGGCTATATGAATCATAATCATGAAAAAGTAAAAATATTTAATCATCATATAACATTATTGAAATTAAATCTTAATCTTTAAGATATATATATTTTCCCGAAAAATATAGTTAATTAATAAAGTTGCATTGAATTAAATACATATTAAGTAGGTTTAACCAACCTTTTTAGTATAAATTTTTATTTTAAAAGGGTCAAGTATGTAATTGATGTAGTGCTCTGTATCACTTTGTTAGTACCTAAGTATTGTTGATAGGATAATCATCTTATGTTTTCTAAGGTGAGGGTGGAGTGTTAAAGATACAATTGTGTATAAGGTACAATTAGAAATTATTGTACTAAAATGTACTGAATAAATTGCAAAATAATCCCAGAATCATTTTGCTTTATCATAAAAAACTCGAGGTTTTAGTATACTTGTCTCTAGAAACGTAACCTCTATAGAGGTAAGTTAAATTATAATTGTGATTTTGATCAATTTTTATGTCAAACTTTAATTTTTGTGATTATTAACTTGCCCCTAGACTTTCATTTAAAATTCTTCCCATAAATGTTTCTAAAAAATAAATTAATTGTATATATTTTTAATACGATTTTATCTTTAATAATATGTAATGTTTTTATCTAGGTTTATACTTAAGTTGTAATGGCTACTGATAAAGTAACTTTGGGTGATGCCTTATCCAATGTTGATGTACTTGATGAATTTACATTACCTGATGAACAACCTTGTATTGAAGCACAACCATGTTCTGTAGTATATCAAGCCAATTTTGATACTAATTTTGAAGATAGAAATGGCTTTGTTACTGGGATTGCTAAGTACATTGAAGAAGCTACTGTTCATGCAAGTTTGGTAAATAAGTATCTGATATTAGATAACTCTATCTTTGTGCTATCAATAGAATTATTACATATATAATATATAATTTTTAATTTAAAGAATGAATTATTAGAAGAAGGTTTGAAGCATGCTGTAATGTTATATACTTGGAGATGTTGTTCTCGTGCAATACCTCAGCCAAAATCAAATGAACAGCCCAACAGAGTAGAAATTTATGAGAAAACAGTAGAAGTATTAGCACCAGAAGTAAATAAATTATTAAATTTTATGTATTTTCAAGTATGTATAATAAAAATATCTAATAACTTGTTATTATATGCATATTGACAAAGTTGAATTTATTACATACAAATAATAAATGAATGTTAATCTTCAGAGAAAGGCAATTGAAAGATTTTCTGGAGAAGTGAAACGTTTGTGTCATCATGAAAAAAGAAAAGATTTTGTTTCTGAAGCATATTTACTCACTTTAGGAAAATTTATCAATATGTTTGCAGTTTTGGATGAACTTAAAAATATGAAATCTAGTGTAAAAAATGATTATTCCACATACCGAAGGTAATTATTACTCTTTTTAAATTTATTAAATCATTAAAATTTTTATTGAAAATAGCTATATTCTCATTTTAGAGCTGCTCAGTTCCTTAAAGTGATGTCTGATTCTCAAACATTACAAGAATCTCAAAATTTATCAATGTTTTTAGCTACACAAAATAAAATTCGTGATACAGTCAAAGAAAATTTAGAAAAAATTCCAGGATATGAAGAATTACTTGCAGATGTTGTTAATATATGTGTTCATATGTTTGAAACTAAAATGTATTTGACTCCAAATGAAAAACACATGTTGGTAAAAGTGATGGGATTTGGTTTATTTTTAATGGATAGTGAGCTTTGCAATATCAATAAGTTAGATCAGAAAAAGAAATTAAAATTAGATAGAATTGATAGAATTTTCAAAAACTTGGAAGTAGTGCCATTGTTTGGTGATATGCAAATTGCACCTTTTAATTATATCAAACGATCTAAACATTTTGATGCTTCAAAATGGCCATTGTCTTCTTCATCAAATAGTATGAGTCCACAAGCAGATCTTATGGTACATCTTCCACAAATTAGGGAAGATCATGTTAAATATATTAGTGAATTAGCAAGGTGAGAATAAAAATATTTCCGAAATTAAGAAAAATGCTAATTTTTAAACTTATAAAAATATATTTGCTGTGATATAGATACAGTAATGAAGTAACTACGACATATAAGGAATGTGGCAGTGATGCGGAAAATCGAGAAACTGCAGAATTAGCGTTACGTGGATTACAATTACTTTCTCAGTGGACAAGTGTAGTAACAGAACTTTATAGTTGGAAACTTCTACATCCTACTGATCATCATATGAATAAAGAATGTCCCCAGGAAGCTGAAGAATATGAAAGAGTAAGACATTATTTATTATTTCTACTAACTATATGATGTATACTAATACCTTTTCTTTTTATCAGGCTACGCGTTATAATTATACAGATGAAGAAAAATTTGCTCTGATAGAAGTAATTGCAATGATTAAAGGATTACAAGTATTAATGGCGCGTATGGAAACAGTTTTTATTGACGCAATACGTAGAAACATATATGCGGAATTACAAGATTTTGTTCAACTTACATTGCGAGAACCATTACGTAAAGCAATTAAAAATAAAAAGGATCTTATTAGGAGGTTTGTATATTATTTTTTATTTATATGGAAGCATGCTTTTCTTTTTTATATAAACATAGTTTCATATACTTGTTTAACGATTTATAAACGTTTATTATATTCTTCAGTATCATTGTGTCAGTACGAGAAACTTGTGCTGATTGGCATTTTGGAGTAGAACCATTAGGAGATCCTGCATTAAAAGGAAAGAAGGATCCTGATAATGGATTTGGTATTAAAGTACCACGTCGAAATGTTGGTAAGATTAAAAATAAATATAATTATATTTTTGAATAGTATACTTCAATACTTTATTAAAAGATGTATTTTCTCAGGACCCTCTTCAACACAACTATATATGGTCCGTACTATGTTAGAATCATTAATTGCGGATAAAAGTGGCGGAAAACGTACTTTGAGGAAGGACATTGATGGCCAATACCTTGTGCAAATCGATCAATTTCATAAAACTAGTTTTTATTGGAGTTACCTCTTAAATTTTAGTGGTTAGTATAATGAATTAGATATAGTTATATTTCATATTAAAATAGGATATTAATAGCGTTATTTTATTTCAGAATCATTACAAGATTGTTGTGACTTATCCCAATTGTGGTACAGAGAATTTTATCTAGAAATGACCATGGGTCGGAAGATACAAGTAACTAAACATTTGTTTAATATAGTTTAACATAGTTCCAAACTCTAAACATGTTTATTAAAGTATATTAAACTTATTTATTAAAATAAATAAGTTTAATTAAAACTCATTTATTAAAAAATGATAGTTGATATTATTGCTTCATTTTTTACTAAATACCGGTAAATATTTTGTATTAATATATGTATGCAAAAGATATTATTAAATAGCGTTTTGTGTACTTGATTTCATGTCTAGAAATGCCAAGTTCGTCACCAGCATAATGAAGAGTGCAGCGATCTGATTACCATGGAGAAACGTATTCAAGTATGTTATTAGACACGAGTGATGTAGCAGTTATTTATGCTTATAATTTCTTGCAATGATCATCGTTAATATGGTTTACTGATTTCATTATTATTATTATGATGTTTCTATTGTATAGATTTTAACTAATACATAGAGAATACATGTTCTACGATTTTTTAAGCATTGAGTTGTTATAAGTTTATTGTTTCACAAATAGTGTGCATTAAATAATGAAATCAATGTATGTCTGTTAAAAAATTATTTTATTAGTACAATTGTACAAATTATTTAATGAAAATGTATAATTATTATATTATTAATGTATTAAGATCTATAATTGATAATATGCAAATTATGTTATAAGTTTTAAAAGCTTTTAATATATGTTTCAGTTTCCAATTGAAATGTCCATGCCATGGATTTTGACTGATCATATATTACGAAGCAAGGAACCATCAATGATGGAGTAAGTAAAAAGGAAATATATCTATCATTTGGAAAATATTTTGTAACGTAATATTTTGTTTTTAGGTACGTTTTATATCCACTTGACTTATACAATGATAGTGCATTATATGCTTTGACAATATTTCGTAAACAGTTTCTTTATGATGAAGTAGAGGCTGAAGTAAATTTATGTTTTGATCAATTTGTTTACAAGCTTAGTGAACAAATTTTTGCTCACTATAAACAACTTGCTGCAAGTATATTGTTAGATAAAAGATTTCGAGTAGAATGTGTTGCGTTAGGAGCGTATTTGCTTCCATATCCTCGTGCTAACAGATATGAAACTTTATTAAAACAAAGACATGTTCAGTTACTTGGAAGAAGTATTGATTTGAACAAATTGATTACGCAACGCATTAATGCAGATATGCAAAAGTCATTAGATTTAGCAATTAGTAAATTTGAATCTGGCGATATAACGGGAGTTGTGGTAAGTTGAATTAATAGATTTAATATGTTGTACTTGTATTTAATTTGCATTCAATATTTTAATAACTTAATATCTTGTGTACTAAAGGAATTGGAAGGACTTTTACAAGTGAATCGTCTTACTCATAAACTTTTAAGTAAATGGCTTGCATTAGATGAATATGATGCTATGTTTCGTGAAGCAAATCATAATGTTTTAGCCCCATATGGAAGAATCACTCTTCATGTATTTTGGGAATTGAATTATGACTTTTTACCGAATTATTGTTATAATGCAGCAACGAATAGGTATAATTGTGTTATAAAGTAAAACCCAATTATATAAATACATACAGAATTCATAATTATTTGTATTAAAAATAAAATATATTTATAATAGGTTTGTAAAATGTCGTGGACTTCAATTTGTACAAGCAGTACATAGAGATAAACCTCCTCAAATGTCTCATCATTATCTTTGGGGAAGTAAACAATTAAATTTAGCATATAGTACACAATATGGGCAATATTCGGGATTTGTTGGACCACAACATTTCCGTACAATGTGTAAACTTCTTGGATATCAAGGTATTGCAGTAGTAATGGAAGAACTTTTAAAAATTGTGAAATCTCTAATTCAAGGAAGTTTACATCAATTTACTAAGACATTAATGGAGGCTATGCCAAAAGTTTGTAAACTTCCAAGATACGATTATGGATCCCCAGGAGTTTTGGGATATTATCATGCTCAATTAAATGACATTGTGCAATATCCAGATGCTAAAACGGAACTTTTTCATAATTTTCGCGAGTTTGGTAACACAATCTTATTTTGTCTTTTAATGGAACAAGCTTTATCACAAGAAGAAGTTTGTGATTTGTTACATGCAGCACCATTTCAAAATATATTACCAAGACCATATTGTAAAGGTAATATTTTCAAATTATATGTGCAAAACAATCTTATTTTTGAAAATATTATAATAACTTCAATTCTAGAGGGTGAAAAACCAGAGACTAAACAAAAACGACTTGAAGCAAAATATGCAGCTTTACAAATCGTCCCCAATGTAGATAATTTAGGTACAGCTAAAGTAAGTAATAAAATGAATATACACATTATGTAACATATGCAAATAATAAAAATATATAAGATGTTTAATTGTGTTGTAAACTTAAAATTATTTTAATCATACAGCAAGCAATGATTGCCAGAGAAGGAGATTTATTAACCCGAGAACGGCTTTGTTGTGGTTTGTCTATATTTGAAGTAGTGCTCAGTAGACTACGTAGTTTCTTAGATGATCCTATTTGGGTTGGTCCTCCTCCTGTAAATGGAGTAATGAATGTTGATGAATGTACAGAATTTCATAGATTATGGAGTGCATTACAATTTGTATATTGCATTCCTGTTGGGGAAACAGAATTTACTGTTGAGTAAGTAATTTTTAATTTTACTATTAGTAATAATACAGGTTTTATCATTTAATACCATTTTCATTACAGAGAACTATTTGGTGAAGGTTTACACTGGGCTGGATGTGCTATGATTGTATTACTTGGTCAACAAAGGAGATTCGAAGCTCTTGATTTTTGCTATCATATTTTGAGAGTACAACGTGTTGATGGTAAAGATGAAAATGTTAAAGGAATCGTAAGTATTTATACATGAGTTATAATATAATCTTTTCGATTATTAAATATTTAATCGTTATTCATTTGAAATAGCACTTAAAAAGAATGGTGGATAGGATTAGAAGATTTCAAGTGCTAAATTCACAAATTTTTGCTGTATTAAACAAATATTTGAAGAGTGGAGATAGTGACGCAACAAGCGTTGAACACGTTCGATGTTTCCCACCTCCAATTCATCCCTCACTTGCTCATGTACAACAGCAACACTATCATACACCAGAATATTTACGTCAAATGAATCATCAGTGAAATAATATAAGTATTATAAGCAAGAATATTTATAATTTAGTATAATCAAGGCTGAATCTCACTTTTTAAATTACTTGTAATATGAGTTTGGAACATTTATCTAAATTTTCTTAAGGTAATGTATGTTACGTTTACATTAGTGCATATAACGTTGAAATAAGTCAATTGAAATCATTAAAATTTGTTTCATTTTTCTGTAAAAAGATATAAATTCTTATATATAATTTGTAATAATATAATTATGTTGTTAACCCCTTAAGGCCCATCTTCGTAATATTACATTTAATATATTATGCGAAGCATTTTTTTAAACACATTTTTCTAAAATTCAGTGAACCCTTAAGGGGGTAATATTCAATATATTTATTAATCAATAAGAATATTCATATATCACATATTTTATTTAAAATATTTCCCAATCGTATATATTGTTTATGTAAAATAAGATTTTCATTATTAGTAACTTTTTATACATATATGAGTGCGAAAGTAAGAATACTTGGAAATTGCATAAAAATTTCAAATCTTTAAATTAAGAATTATATATCTTTTACTATCAGTATTATTTATCATAATATGACAGCAAATATATTATGAACTCTGGTATTACAATCCATTTTATATATTTGTATTAAATTGATTTCTTTTTACAAATTAAATGTAAATTATAAGAAATACTTGACATATTTGTAATCATTGCTGAATATCTCGTGAATATTTTTCAATCCTTTTTGTAAACATATTTTATATGTACAAAAACAGATGTAAGCTCACATTTAGTAGAACTTTAACATTGTTTCAAAAACATAAAGCACTGTATGGTAAGCAAATTTTATAATAGATAGACTACGAATTATAAAACGCAATATCTACTAATTAAATACTGTTCTAAAACTTATACTTCGTAATATTTTTTACATGACTTATATTTTCTGTCAATTTCCTCATGTATGTTTTATGATAATTGTACAACACATACGAAAGAATCAATTGTTTGATATCAAATCTAGTTAAAATATGAATTGAATAAATCACAAAATTTAGACATTTATTTGTCATTTATGGTTAATTTTCAAAAATATTTTTGTTATAATGAACATATAAAATTAAGTATAAATGGTTACTAAGATTTATTTGTTTATACATATAATTCTTGTTTTATAATATTAAAAATATTAGAAAGTAACATCAAAAATATTTTAATAAAATATTTGAAGCAATGTAAATATACATTTAAAGTATGTTTTCAGGTTGCATGAAATCTGTTTGATTTTTATCAAGCTTCTAAATTTTGACAAATGCAACAAAATACAATAAATAATGATAAATGTAGCTTAAAAATTTCACATGTAATTCATTAAAATATGTTTTTTTATTATTTTTATCTTCAAAAAGTATAATTGTGTTCAACTTTTTGTTATACATATAAACTATGTAATATGTATGTACATGTTATGTATGAATTAAGAACATATTTATATGAAAATATGTAATCTCAGTATTATATGTGAATCTAATAATTTAATCATTTGTAAATTTACAATACATTCATAATAATTTATTTTCTTTATTGAAGATCCAAAAAAAAGGTAGATGCATTATCAATTTTACTACTTGGAAGATTATGTTTTAATTGTCTTTGCTTTCCACCTTTTACACGTTTACTAACGTCTAAAGTTTCAAAATATTGTACATTCCAAAACTTGATATCATAATCATGTGACGAAGATGCAATTAAAGTACCATCACTGTTAACATCAAGTGCTTCAATAGAAAGACTATGTTCTCCTACTATTCCAAGATGATGATGAGGAAACAGGCTGGTAGCCCTGTACATTAATACATACAACAAATACATAATTATTTTAATTAATATAAAAAAAGAGATACATAATAAATCTTAAACTATACCTAAGTATTCCATCTTCTCCACCTGTTATCACAACATTTTCAGTAATTGGAATCATACAGTTTATAGCTTTTTTAGTTAAATTCGGAAACTCATCTGAATGAAGACCAAATTCTCCCCAATTATATACATACATTTTTCCTTTACCTGTACCCACCAATATTTTTGTTTCATATTTAAATAAACCAAGACATGTCAGTTCCTCTTGATATTCTTCTGACTAATGAAATGATTATATATATTTATATATATATAATTATATATAATTGGATAACATGATATCTATTTACACATACTTGAACATGTAGTTTCTTTCCTGGTATATTAAATGTAGTAAGACATCCATCTCCACTTGCGCAAACTAAGTATTTCCCTTCTTTGTTTGTTACTATAGCACTTACATAATCCTCCATTTTTTTTAATGAAAATATAGGTTTATTCTCTCTTTGTCGAAGATCCCACACTTAAAATACTTAAATATAAATATAATGGATTCAATGAAACAGAGAAGAGAAAAAAACAATAACATACTTTTTACTACACCATCATCGTCTCCAGTTGCAAACATATGTTCTCCAATTACAGTCATTGTATATATTGGCTTCCTAAAATAAATCAAACATTAAGTAATGGCACTTATATTTTTATTTATATTAACTATAATGATTATATACATACTCATGTGCATTTTCATAAAGTCTTATTAGCTTTTCTGTTTCTAAATCAGTGAGCATTACACATAAATCCTTAGCAGTAGAAAATAAAGTTGTACCAGAGTCATTAAATTCTATGTCACGACATGCTTTAAGATGCAATTCTAAAGTTGATATCAGATCTGTTTCTGTATTATTATATTTGAATCTATCAGATAAAGAAATATACATGTATATATGTGTCAAGCTATTCAAAATTATTAACAACATATTAATTATGTGATATTAATGAATATAAAATTTACAAGTATACATCTCCTGCAATATCAGCTACAGCCATCATGTTTGAATTAGGATGGAAACATATATCTACCACATGATCTTCTGTTTTAATAGGTGGAGGATGATTTGTATTTATATCTTTTGATCTAATTATTGCCTTTACAACTTCATCTTCTTCCTCACTTGCACTTAATAAAATTGATTCTGTACTGCCACCTTTAAAAAGAAATAGAAATATTACCTTTCTATAATATTATAAGTAATAAAAAGCATATAGCACTATGTTAATTTTTATTACAAAAATTAAGTTTAAATTATTTAAACATTAAATTTTATATAAAATTTACTTGTGTGTGCATTATTTGAATGAAAAAGTTCCTCATCGTCTTCGTTGTCTATATCATCTATATCATAACTGCTTGAACTGCTGTCTTCTGACAATGTTTGTATACTATCGTTACTTGCATCACTGTCAAGATTATTATTCTCTTCATTATCAAGAACAAAATTACCTAAATAATACATATATTTAATTATAAATAAAGAAAAAATCTAAGAAATATAAAAAAATTGTGTAATAGTTATTAATGAATTAATTCTTATTAACTTCTGTTATTATGTTAATAGTGGAATCAATTTAAACATGTGCAAATAATATTAAGAAGTAAAAATAAGAAATAAATGATTATTTATTCTATAGTAATATAATATAAAAGGCAAAGCAAAAAAAGGTACCTGAATGTCCTTTATTTAAATTCATGTTTTAAAGATCCTAATTCTTTTTGATGATATTTATAAGGTCTCGTATATAATACAACACACAGTATGTATGACTTGTTCACTGTACGAAAACTATTAAAATTAATATTCCCTATAAATTGCACTATATAAAATGTGTTGTTACAAATTTATAGTGATTTTTCAGGAATGTGGGTTGGTACCTATGGAACGCTGATTCGCTCTGTTCGCTAGAGTGATTCATAAGATCATTCTGATAATTTTTGATACAAGTGGCGTGTCGCGATCCTAGATTGCAATGGCAAGAATCCTGACAATTTTTGTTTCTTCCTTGGCTCATAAAGTTCCTTCTAGTTCTTCTCCTAGAATCTGGATCCTCTCAGATCCTAGTGGACTAATCGAAAAATAGTTTTCACCCTGTAGATCAACGCTTCATATCCTATACTAACTTCACTCTCCGATCTTCGTTAGTGGATGGTAGTGGGAACGCAAGACTGATGTAATCGACAACGTCGTGTGTATGTGTGAAAGAAAGCATGCACTTTGCGTGGCGCGCAGAAATTATTCGTTGAAAAAATGTATGGTTCTCTTGGGCTTTCACCGAGCTAACTTAGCCGAATGCTTTTAAGACACAAAAGCAGAACGTTTAAGCATATAGTTCTAAATCTCTAATTCTTTGAAACAAACATTCAGTCGAGAGAGCCTGCGTGACTTTAACTGAAGCTGTCAATTGATTGCGATTCTTAACAAAATTTCTCAAGTTCGCTAAATAAAGTATTTTTGTTCCCAAATTTTAACTTTCCCATCGTCGTACTACGCATCAATTCTTTATACAGTTTCTAGATACATTTTGTCTTTTAGACATACACGACGATTAAAATTAACAATTCAAATTACGTTCCACATGTATATGTCGATCTTCCTAGATTAAGCCCATACTAAAGCTATATTCGAGACAGGTAATTAAAGTTATGTTCACGCGATAACATAATAGTATAAATATATATTCTATTGTCTAAGTAAATAGTTAATTAATAAAAGAGAAATTCTATACAATAGTTCATTATACTACAAAATTTTTATTAATTTCTTTCCTTATTAAAAAGATATTTGATTTATTATTAAAATTACCAAAATATCTAGAAATATCAAAATCCCTATTTCAGAGGGCGCCATTATACGTTGCATCGAATTTCTTGCCTAACTATAGTAATTGCAATCAAAGTGGAGTGTGGAGTATGTAGTGTGGAATATGTAGCATGGTGGACCATGGCGCTACATGGTTCAAGAAAGATATATTTTCATAAGATATAAAAACGATTCTTCTGTGTAGCCACGTTCATACTTTGATAATTTTAAAATGGAAACTCGGACGAATGAGTTGTTAACAACCGGTCCTATAGCAACGATTAAAGAAGAGCCACTTGATCAAACTGGCGCGAAGCAAGATATGCAACAATCTCAAGTGCAGGGCGTTTGCATTGAGGAAGAGTGCGAACAGCGTATCGAGTGTACAACTGAGGGCCAAGAAAATGAGACACGTGCATTTTTATCGAAATGTGTGTTCTGTGGAAAGACATTTACTTTC